CGCTACCTTAGAATTTTACAAAGTTGTATCTGCTCAGCACTAAGTTTGGAGAGATTTGACGTAAAAAATTATGAGTTTCACAAGTCAAGCTTTTTTAATTTTAAAAGCAGTTCTTTGAATATCTTGATAACGACATTAAATAATCTTACAATTTTGACAGAGCAGAAGGAACATTTGTGAGGCAGCTTGGTAAAACCAGGCGCTCGTCAAAATAATGAAATCGAAGAAAAAAGCATTTTTCTTCCCATTTAGCATGGAATTTTGAATTTTTGACTCAACACCTTTTACATCCATTCAAAAACAATTTGCTGTGTGGCTTTTACTGAAAAACATTGATTAAGGGCACAAACAATGAAAATTACAGTTTTCAAGGACTCTCAAGCTTTGGAAGTCACCAAACTCTCTAATTTTACCTCTGAAAACAGGTGACCCCCACCTCCTTCAATCCAAAATCTCTCCACTTCTATTAAAGATAGATGGATAATTTTTTCATCTAAAGCAAAAGAAATGAACACGCTTAAAGACGATACCAAAAACTACAGATGCCAAAACGTTGACGCGTGCCTGATTCCACTGCGTTGTGACACATTTGGTTTCTAACTTCATGGTCTTAGTAAATCAAAACAGCCCAAAATGTCCGATAGAACTCTGTAATTCTGCGGTAGCGTAATGACACTGGGTTTTCCAGGCAAAGGTAGATTAGATTTCACACAACTCAACAGCAAGCAAGAACTTTGGATACAAACATTGAGAAAGACTGCGCGACAGAGAACAGCACTGGCACCAAAAGTGCAACACAAAGTTAAATCGGTTTATTTCAATCAACTGACTTAGGCAGAAACATAGAGAGGATGAGGATGAGAACATTGCTTGTTGCTACCAGAAAACATTACTTGATAATAATAATATTGTGAAATAAAAAAATGTAATGTATACTTACAAGGTGTTCTTGAATACATTTGAAACGAATTACATTACAAATAAATACAGGGGAGTCTGCTTACACTGAACTTTGGGTGACCATCAAATTTTCTTCAGTTTAGCCCAGTTTTTGGTTTTGACAGGTTGCTCAAATAAAAAAAAAAATAATCAGAGATTTAATTTTCTTTCAGTTTGCCGCTGTTTTCAGATTAAAACCATGTCCAGTTTAAACAGACTCCACTGTATAATAAAATAAATAACTGGAGAAGAAATCAGAAGTAAAGCCTACAACAACCACAGAAGAAAAACTTGTTATAAACACGTCTCCCTACTTATTTACCAGACATCTCTGCCTCAGTGCCTTTGACAGCCCACCAGGTTGGAACAGGAACAGGTTTGTTTTTTTTTGGTCTCATGAACATTTTCAGAAGACTTAAATTAGTAACAAAACCAGCCAACATCTTGAACTGCAAATAAAATCAGTCACTGTGGTGATAATATAAAAAATAAATAATAACAGTAATAATAAAAACAGTAATAACAATCATATAAATAATATTGTACTCTCAGGTGATATAGACGACTATTATATCCACAGTGCGTTTCCCACTTCTCTTTCATTTCAAACAGTCAAGTAACTACATCAGCAAACACCATTCTCTTTCCACAACCGAAGACCTGAGAGGAGACCGTCCTTCTTAAATCCACATTTTCAAAGATCGATTTACTGGTATCTTACAACACAGCTGTTGATTTTCCGTAACAAATAGTACTGAGTAGCCAGTGATGGAGAGACAAAAATGGGTAATGGTACCAGAGGAAAGTTAAGTCCATAAATTATATCCTCCTAGTTATCTTAAAAGTAAGCGAAAAACCCTCCCCCAGGGTTTTTGCATTTCTCTCCATTCAACAGAAAAGAATTAACCCTCCGTCCTCTTTTCAGGTCTGTACAAATGATTGAAACTTTAAAAAAACAACAATTTTCTTAAAAAGAATTTTTTTCCCCATTTCTCCCCACTTGACTGAAAAGTGTTTAGGCTCTGAAGTCCTTATTTCAGGTCTTTACAAATGAGCAACAGAACCTCTGACAGCACTTCACAGTGGCTCGACCTCAGCGTTTCCCACAACAAGACATAACAATTACAAGCTTCATCTCAATAAAATAGGCTCAAAAAGAAATTTGGGGGAAAATGTCATTTTTATACTAAGACATTAAAAAAAAAAAATGTTTAAATTTAAACCATTCACATTTCATTTTCTGTGTAAATGAGTTCATTTTATCAAAAGAAATCAAACAAAGTTTTATATTTATACTAAAACATGTCCATTCCATACTCCCATTTCCGTGTTCTCCCTCGGGAAACGATGTAATGTAATCGTATCTTGAGCAACAGGCTCCCAAACACTTACGTGAAATAAAAACTAATCTAATACAAGTGCCTTACTCATAGACTACTTGATCATTCACAAAGAACATTGTATATTTCCAAATTCATACTGTCAAGACTACACAAAAAGAAGTAAAAGTAAGAACAAGTGAAGTATGACACACACATGAGAAAATTAATCATTTGGAAAGATGCAGGATGCAGACATATAAAACTATAATATTGTAATATATCATTATTAATCAATATGCCAATAAATTATAATTATTAGAATTGGCTTGGTTAATTTTTTTTTCAAACATTATTTAAAAATATTACAGAATCAGCATATCATTGTTCACAGTAACAGTCAAAAGTACAAAACGCATAAACATACAGTTCTACTATCTCAGAAAAATAATAACAATCAGGCATACTGCTCTTTCGATGCAGTGTTGGTCATCTGGTCATTTAATAGAGATGAGGGAGGGACTTGGGGAGGGGTGGGTGGAGGTGGACCAAATTACCATGAGCAGCATGTGCAGTGACAGGGGTGGGCAAACCTTTTCTGTTTTTTTTTCTTGTAATAGTTTTACGGCACTTGCAACACAATAAGGTCATATAAATGCCGAAGATCAGCGGAGTTACAAGAGAGTAACAAACACAAAAAAAGGAGGGGAGATAAAGACAATAGATGTTTGATAGGAAAGAAGAAGCAAACCACATCAGAGCACCCGCCAACCATCCAAGGGCAAACTTTGCCAACTGGGAGCTACAAACAGTTCATTTTGTGTGAGTAAAGAAAAGCAAAATCAACACAATACAGGTCACTTAGTGCAGGGAATAAGCAAGGAAGAAAAATGGAAACAACAGAAGGGATGAAAAAACCCCCAGGACCTACCACCTGCCTGCAACCACCAACAGGCTATGAACAACAAAGGGTCGAACCTTTTAAAGCTGGACATAGCGCACCAGGCAACCCTTAGTTTTAGTTTTAGTAGAAGTTTTACGGCGCTCGCAACTGCATAAGGTCATATGAGCGTCAGAAGACTAGAGCTGTTACAAGAGAGTAACAAACATAAAAAAGAAGAAGGAGAGATAAGGACGATAGATGTTTGACAGGAGAGAAGAAGCAAACCACACCAGAGCACCCGCCAACCACCCACAGGCAACTCTATTTGTCTTTTCCCACATGCAGTAGCAGTAATATGCAACCACTGGAGTACTGTAGGAGTATATAACGATTTGACCTAGACGACACTACAGAAGCTGAAAATTTACTCAATTTTAATTTATTTTTAAATTAAATTCATCAAACGTTTCTGCAGGCTGCATGTAACTGGAGGGCTGCATTTGGCCCTTTTGACCGTAGTTTTCCCACCTCTGCACTACATGCTGACTGGATAGTTATTAGTTTGAGCAAAGAAAAGCACACCACTGACATAGTGACAGTTATTTAGTGCAGGAAAAAAGGAAGATGGCCACACACACCAAAAATTAATTTTTTTTTTTTTAGTGTTTTACAGCACTTGCAACACAATAAGGCAATATAAGTGTCGAAGATTAGAGGTGTTACAAGGGAGTAACAAACATAAAAAAAGAAGGAGGGGAGATAAAGACGATAGTTGTCTGATAGGAAAGAAGAAGCAAACCACACAAGAGCACTCGCCATCCACCCACAGGGAAAAAAGGAAGATGGCCACACCACGCCCAAAAAAAGAAATAAAAAATTAAAACCTGGAGGGAAAGAAAAGTAGTAGGATCTACCAGAAGCTCGGTCCACCAACCACTCTCATCAATCTGTGAGCTTTAGGACAGAGCACAACAACAAGAAATGGAGGAGGAAAAAAACAGGACAGAACAGGGAACAACATTTGAATCACATAATTATATAACTGGGAGGAGGAGGAAGGGGTGTCACTGATTACTAAACTAAACAATGTAGTAATAGGAAGTGCGCTTATAAAAATTACAACAAAACTTATTTGTGTGCATAGCTGAAGCAAAATTAAGACTTTAAAGACATAGATCAAACGTATGTGTGCGAAGACACAAATACGCCAAAGACAAAACGTGACAGTAAGTACACAGTACTGGTATGGCCAAACCAAGACATAAGAATGCTTCTTGATTTCTCGATTCACCCAAGACACCAAACTTACCGCTAAATTAAAATTGATTGGATGATAGTACTTAGTAAATGTTTAACGTCCCCTCCACACAATTTTGACTCAGCTGCTTCCAGCATGCCTGTAACGACCAGCCCAGACTCAGTGTAATACAACATCACAGAAGAGAGACCGAGACGCTCGTCTTTTCTCTGCGTACAATGACACAGACAGAAAACCCAGCCATAACACCATAGATGCTGTTACTCTTTATATGGATTAAAATAAATATTAAGGTACAGTTATTCAAAAGTTATAGTTATGCGTGTGAGAATAACATGATTTTTGCCTGTCCAACCAATAACTATTCTGTGTGTGTGCGTGTATGTGTGTGTGTTGTCATGTGAATGTATGTATTTACCATGCCGTAACAAATTGCTCTTCGTGGAGATCAAGTAAAAAAGTTACATTATTTTGTCATTATATCTCAAAGCAACCGCTGTGGGGGAAACTATATATTCTTGTGGACAAACCAGTGAACAGGTATAACAGCTAAACCAACTGTCAACATTTTCAAATATGAGTCATGCAGATACGTTTTTTCTCGCACCCCATTCAAGCCTCACAATATCCACACTCTATCACCAGCATCTTTGGTAAAATGGCCAGGCTCCTCAATGTTGCACACAGAGAAGACGTGAATCCCATTCCAAAGTAAGGAAGATAATCTACCGAGTACCGTCCTCTGTCTGTTGGAACGATGTATCCAACCCAGCCAGACGTGGCCCCAATAGGCAGAGTAGAAGCAGCCTGCCTCTTCAACTCATTCAGTGCTGAGCGCTCCAGCAGTGAACTCCCCTCACATACTGGGCCATTTTATTATTTATGGCAACATGAAATTAGGTCCACCCAGGAAAATCAATCAAAACTAGTGGGCTCAATGACTGTTCGAGCAGAAAATGTCTCCTTAACCACTCTCATAATGATTAGTTCAAATAACTTGGTATGGATTACCCGAGTAATTCTTTCTATAAAGATAGCGAGGCAGAATGCGTGGATACTCGTTGCTAGTATGTGGGCGGGGCCCAGGTTTCACGAGTATTCTCGTCTGTAGCACTGAATGAGTTGATTAAATTATCTCCATTGTATTGTTGGGGGAAGCAAAACATGTCCAATCAATCAATGATCGGCGCCAAATGCAAAGCCAAAGACCTCTGGAGCATGAGCATTGAGACGCGCACAGGGAAGATGTTTGTTTTATCTAAGAAAATATTACACCAGCACTCTTAAATATATATATATTCATACCGAAAAGTACATTTTGGGGTAGCAAATGCTTTAAAAATATTTTTAAAATAAAAATGTACATGGCATAACATTTTTCTACTCCTAAAACAAATCAAGTACAATCAAGCAAAAAACCCCAAACAAAACAACTAACATAACATCAACATACCAGACATACAAATAAACTTTATACACTGAAACAGATAAAACCAGAATCATGCATGGTAGCTTTCCATGAGGGAAAATGATTAGCTAAAAACAATAAATGAAAAAAAAATCATACAAAACTTGGGCAGGCACACATTTCACTGAATGGCAATTGAGGAAATCTCCGAGACATAAGAAAATTATATGTCCCTGAACACTGGCAAAGCTGAGCAAGGCTTGTATTGTAATAAGTAATAATTATAATTATTGTAAAATGTTTTATGCACCCCTTGACACAATTCAGATTATACCGGAAGCAGGCTTTCATCCGAAACATTTTATCTGGTCCCCAGTTCCGTTATTCATAGCTATTCAAAGTGCAGCAAAGCCATTCGAATGCCGAATGCTGTGGGATTTCCCTGCACTAATTCATGGTAGCACACAATATACTTCTTGTCACTCTAAATTAAAACTTTTTCTAAAACAAATCCAAACATCAAGCTAAAAAAACCAAAACAGGTAACCAGGGAGGAGATAAATACTGTACAAGTCCTCATCACCTTTTAATAGGTTGGATAGCCTATGATGATTCGCCGATACTGGATATGATTACCATCCCACTCAAAGCCCAGAAAAAAATAAGACTGGCAGTAAGTTAAAAACCCCAATGGAAAAACAATCAAAGTCTCAAAATCAAGATTATTGCCTTGATGAGTGCATGGGCTACTCCAAGACAGGAGTCCTCTTAAACCGAAGTCTGCGAGACAACCAGATTTTTTTTCAGCTCGGCCGTGCTTTCTGTTGAACCAGATCATTCAAACTGCGGGAAAAAAATCTAGAGGATTTGTTTTTCTTTTCAATTTACCACTTATCAGATATAACATGGACTGTTTTAAGTGGATTCCAATGTAGTTTACCTTAAAAAAAAACCCTGTCAAATCAAATAACTAGCTCAGTTCTGAGTCAGAGTCCCTTAATAAAAGAGGGTACAATAGAAAAATGACTAAAGCAGCACATGCTTGGAACTTTAAAATCTTAATTCATTTTTCTAATTCCCTAACCTTAAAGTGAGATTTTGACCGTTTTTCAATTGTGATCTTCAGACAAAATTCACAAAAAATATATTTACATCTAAACCTTTCACGTAGCTGCTTAAACAAAGAATAAAACAAAAAAGTTTCTTTGACAAAGAACATTAAAAATCTTTATGAAAAGGCATACAAATTAAATCACATCTATAAACATTTTTAAATACCAACATGTAAACATTTCTAAATCTCTACAGGTAAATATTTCTAAATCTCAAAAAGATAAGTGGACTTTTCTAAACCCAGCATGTTGAGGCTGTTATATTTCATCCATTCATGAACTGACCGAGTCGATTTTGCTTGTTTGTTTGTAACCACAGACACAATCATCAGGCAGGCTCATCAAAGACACAATCATCGGGTACCGCCACCAACGACACAACCCTCACTACTGACACAATCATCACCACAGACACAATCAACAAGTACCGTCACCTAAGACACAACCATCACTTCTCACACAATCATCAGGTACCATCACCACAAACATATTACCAAGTACAATCACCACAGACACAATCATCAAGTACCATCACCAACGACACAAGCATCACCACAGACGGGTACCTTCATCTAAGACACACTCATCACCACTAACTCAATCATCAAGTACAATCACCAATGACACAATCATCACCTCTGCTCACCATTGACATAAACAGTTGGCATGGTCACCAATATATTGTAATTGTAAATGTTCCACACCGCCAACGACACAGTTTAGATCATTTAGGAGGCCGGTGCATTCACCACCAACACTAGGGCAACACAAGGCTACTAAACAACCAAGGGCTCTATTTCTTCTTCGGGTCAAGTTTGCGCCTGGTCATCGTCTTACTGGCCAGCTTGACCAGCTTTTCCTTCACTTTGAGATTCCTTTTGCCGGCTTGACTCTTGGTCAACGATTTCGTTTTGACGTTCCCGCTCTGAGTAACTGGCTTAGATTTGACCGCGGTCTTGGCTGGTGTTGATTTAACTGGAGTTTTAGCAGGTTTAGAGTTCACCGAAGTTTTCGCAGGTTTTGATTTAGCTGGGGTTTTTACTGGTTTTCTTTCAGCTTTGTCTTCAGACTTTTTGGAACTTTTGTCAGTGGCTGAATTACCTTTCTTGGAATTCCCCACCGCTGGACTTGGTTGGTTTTTCTTTGCGACAGCACCGACCACCTTTTTAACCACCTTCTTACTCGCAGCGGACTTAGGCTTCTGCTTCGGAGTTTGTGAAACAGCCTTCAACTTCGCAGAGACTGACGATGATACCACAGCTTTCGTTTTCCCAATCTTCACCTTCTGTGAACTAGTTTCTTGCTGTTTTCCTCGTTTCCCTGATGCTACGACATTCGCTGGGCGGCCTTTCCCAGTCGGGGTCTTCCCATTAATTGGGGGTCGACCTCGCCCCTTCTTAACTGAGTCAACCACGGCTTTCTTAATGATGGCCTTGCTTTTCACAGAGGTTTTCGTGGTAGCTTTTTGCACTCCACCTTTTCTGACTCCAGCCGGTTTCTCAGAGGACGCTTTTTGCTTTATCTTTGTATTTCTTATCCTTTCTTTCTTTTCTCCGTTCGCAGCAAGGTTTTTCTTTGAAATGGCGGCAGTGGCGTTTTTACTATTCTTCGGTTTAGCAGTCTTCTTCGAACCGTTCACCTCCGCCTTGATCTGAGTAAACCCCCCTGGCTTAACATCGTTCTCCTCCATCTCACCCTCGGAGCTGTCCCCCGCCGCCATCCCCTCTCCCCCATTGGCCTTGAGTTTCTCCTTTATGGTCGGCAAAAGCTTGAGCTTGCTCAGGCCCCCGGCAGGCAGGGCGGAGAGAGACCAGCGCTTGCTGTGCAGCTGCAGGGAGACAAACACGTCCTTGAGCTGGAGGGGCAGCACACCGTCGTTCTCGTCCCGCACCTGGTCTCTGTGATCCTGGGGGGGTGACAATGATGGTAAATGTTTTACATCCGTATCAACACAATTTCGGTCATGCATTGTACAGTGCTTTCAGCCTTTTAGGGATTAGGTGCTATATACTAACAGCAGAATTAGAGAAAAAGATTCAGACCACAGAGATGAGATGTTACCGCAGACTCCTTGACATCTCGTCTATGTTTCAAATTCTGAAGTGAGAAAGAGAATCACCAACGCAGTGGGGCAATATGACGATCTACTGACCACAGTGAAGAGACGAAAACTAAAATGGTATGGGCATGTCACAAGACCCAAGACCCACAGGTCTTGCCAAAACAATCCTGCAAGGAACCGTACAAGGAAAGAGAAAGAGAAGGAGATGGGAGGACAACATTACAGAGTGGACAGGAAAGACGATGGGTGACAATCTGAGGAGAGCAGAGGACAAAAATAGATGGCGAGAGATGGTTTTCCAATGCAGTGGTGCCCCAACGGTTGCCCCAACCACAGGATAGAAGAAAAAGAAGAAGCTATATACACTTCCACATGTCATTATTATGAAGGGGAAAGAGGTAACAGACAAAGATCAACAACACAACCATTATGCGGCGTTTTTCTTTCTCTTTTTATTTTTGTGGAAAGTTTTAGTTAGAATTTTACAGCACTTGCAACACAATTGGGTCATACAGGTGGTGCAGATTAGAGGTACTACTGGAGAGTAGCATACAAAGAAAAGAAAGAGGAGAGATAAGGACGATAGATGTTAGATGGGGAAAAAGGAATAAACCACACGAGAGGGTCCGGCAACCACCCACTCCCGAGGGTGATAAGTGTTTCAGATCCATATTGACACAATTTAGGTCACAAAAGGGGAAAAGTGTCACTGGGGGTGACGATTCACAACAAAAACTTGTGACTTACCTGCAGCAGATCTGGTCCCTGGCACGAGCAACAGATGCCCACGACAATGTCCATGAGCGCCGAGGCGTCTGTTATGGCAATGTGCTGGGCCCCGGTCAGCTGGGCCACACGGCGGAAGAACGTCGTGCCCTCGTCATCATCCTCGTCCGTTGTCGTCGTCGTTGATGTCTTTGGGGAGACGGCCTGGATTGTGAACACATGGATGCCCTGGGGGGAGGGGAGGGGGTGCGGAGTGTGTTAGTTTAATTTGAGCTAATCATATAAACCATTTAGTGTGTACAAAGGAGAAAATCTGGTTTGTTTGAGTAAGAGTTTTATGGCACTTGCAACACAAATAGGTTATTATATAAATGCCGAAGATTAGAGGTGTTCCTAGAGAGTAATATACAATGGAAAGAAGGAAGAGAGATAAGGATGATAATGTTTAATAGAAAAGAAGGAGAAAACTACACCACAGCACAAATCAACATCCCACAGACATGGTTATGAGAAAACTGAACATTTTTCTTTGAATTAAGAGAAACACATCAAAGTAGGACTTCTTACTTAAGAGCTTCAACCATGTGTAGGTATCATGCCTGCTTTTAAAAAAAATCAATAAAAAGAAGTGTTTCTACAAGAGACCAGACATTTACTATTTAGTGCAATGAAAGAATAACCCGACAGACAGACTGAAAAGACAAACGGAAAGAATATAAATATAAATTTGTAGGTAGGATAGAGATCAAAAGGAAGGCCATATGGAACCTGGACAAAAGTCACAGAGATTGATGTACAGGAAAGTGGAAAGACATGAAATAGTGTCAAAAAGCTAACCCAAGATAAGGAAAAATGGAAAGTGCTTGTTAGTGGCCAATACCCTGATCCAAAGTGAAAAAAGACAATAAAACCACGTTAGTTTGAAGTGTACAAAGAAGTAAATACAAATTCCGAGTGACCCACCATCTGAGCCAACATCTTCGCCTCCAGCTCCCAGTCGATGACCGGAATCTCCTGCCGTGGGGTGAGCTCGAGCGCCGAGCGGATCCAGCCCCGCCAGTGTTCCCGCTGCAGGTAGAAGCTGGTCCGGTTGGGGCGGCCGCGGCCCACCATGATGACCGTGCGGTAGCTGCATGACGACCAGCTCATGCAGCGCTGCAGCTTCCACAGCGCCATCTCCAGATTGTCCTGGACGTAGTCCGGGTAGATGGTCGCCTCCGGCTCTGACGTTTGATAATAAAATAATAATAATAAAAATTTATAGTATTTCGCACATCCACACTCCACAACATGCTCTACACTCAACTATATATATGCTTTTGAACTACAGTTGAAACTGTTTAAGATGGCCACCAATTGTCCAGGACAAAAGTGGCAGTCTTAGACAGGCGGAAGACTTGCACAATGTCATTAAAATGTTTTTAAAAAACACACAAACATCCATGGCTTATTACATGACTTTTGAATCAAAAAACAGAATATTGAACAAAATCATGTTTTGCCATAATTAACAAAATTGTGTTTGACCAATTTTGCTCAGTATGACCGAGATAGTGATAGCGGTTTTGTATTTTTGACTGATTCAACACTTTTCTGTTATATTATGTTCACGTGGAGATGACCTGCTGTACTGCTACCATCTCTGTCTTGTCAGTACTTTTTTTTTTTTTCAATTTCTATTACTTGTATCTTAGCAACCCTTCCTAGGTGACAACATTCTCACCAAAAATTTAATTTGTACATTAAAACCACTAGAAGATTTAGAGATCTCTAAATGTTCTTAATATCTGTCCATGATATATATGAAATAGCTTCAGCTTTGGGTGCAACTCTGCAAATTCATTGTCTCAGTTCCCCCAGAATTGACTTCAACTTTACTCACTACTACTCACCTAAGCTGTCAACAAAAGCACAGATCTGCGAGAGGGTAGCGCCCAGGTCCAGCCACTTTGTGCCGCTGTGACCCCCCGTGCGGATGTAGTTGTGGTCGCTCGGGCTCCGGCCGCCCTCTGGCTTGTCGTCATGGATACCGCCCTGTGTGTGAGCCATCACGCCGATGCGCAGGTTTGGGATGAGTGACTGCAGACGCCACACCGTCTCCCGAACGTGGTCCTGGAGGACGGAGAGGTGTTCCCTCAGAGCCCCAGAGGTACTGATACAGATCACTACCTCCAGCATGTTCGGCGGTTCTTCCGCACCAGCGCCGGCAGATAAAGAAGGCACATTTTTGGATACTCCAGAGTCTGACGTGGTGGGTCCACCATTAAGAGTGTCACAAATCTCCAGCATGCTGGAGCTACTTGAGTCTACCGCGTCGACCCCATACATACGAATACTGGAAACTGCTTTACTATTGCGCTTGGACTTGGAAGATGACTTTGGCAAAGCTGCTTTTTGTGATGATGATGATGACGATGATGATAACGATAATGTCTTGGAAGTTTTTGAGGATGAAGCTTTTAAGGATGAAGTTTTAGATGAAACTTGATTTTGCTTAACAGAACTTTTCTTGGTTTTCAGTGCAGGTTTACTGCCATCGTCAGAGTCAAGGTCTGAGGAGCTCAGAATTTCTGTTGCTTTCTTTGTCAACGAAGGTGAAGGAGCTATAATTTTCTTCACACTCTTCGCCTTGGCTGGCTGCGGTGGTGGGCTCTCTATTTTCAGAGTAGACTGTCGTCTGAGGGATGCGGGTTCCTCCGAAGCTGAAGCTGCCGGGGTTTTGGAGTCTGCATTCTGAGCGTTCTTGGCAGCCTTCATTTTACTTGGTGGAATAAGAGTGGGGAAGCGAGGCATAGTTAATTTTTTATCCTCAGAGGGCTTGGTTGTTACATTTACTGCTGTTTTCGTTATTTTAGCTGCCGGAGCCTTAGTTATTTTATTAATCGTTGTCTTCGTTGCCATTTTGTTTGGTTGTGCTGGTTCTTTGTCTCCGCCTTCCTTTGTCTTGGACGCGCTGCCTGTGACATATGAAGCGAGCCAGGCTGGTGGTTTCTTCTGCCTGTATGAAGGAAGCCTCATTGGCTCTAAGGCCGGCCTCACTGTTGTCTCCTTGCGCACAAGAGAGTTGAGTCCCGTCACAGAAGACGACTCCTTCTTCATCTTTGCTGGGTGCTCAAAGCCCAGAGCCTGCGATGCTTTTCTCTTCATGGTTGCCCTTTGAGCTATGACCTCAGTATATCTGGGTCACCTGGACAAGATGAAAGAACAGTAAGAAAAATGTTGTTAGATTACCATTTCTTATGATAATAATACTTGATTTGTGTTACTGATGCCATCAAAACCTTGACCTCCCATTTTCCATCTCTAAACGTTACACGTTAAACCCCCCCCCCCCCTTCCCCCCAGACTGGGGCCAGACACACACAAAGACAAATGCAAGGGTATAGGGACATATCCCCCCTGCACAGAAAAGTATCATCAATTGGCAGAACAATCAGTCATCACATAGTGCAAACTTCAGAAAGAGCAGAGAGAAGACAGTGCCAGTCCACTCTGATGGCCTTATCACAATGTTTCTATTCTAAAAGACGATCTACCATCGGACAGGTTTGACAATAATTGTTCCACGTGACATTCAGCACTATACTCAACATTCCCAACCCTAACCTTCACCCTAGCCCTAAAACACTGACACAGAGCACAGGTAGACAGTTTGTTAATCAGGTAGACCAAGTGAATGAGCACCAAGAAGACCTTTGACTATAAACAACACAGGCAGTATCAACTGCAGTGCCAAAGATATAAATTTTAATGACTACTGACGGAAAGCCAAGAACTGACCCAACATAGCCTGGATGGCTGAACTTTTCAGAGGTCTAAGATCATCAAATTCATCACTATTTCTCAAAAACATTATCTTTTTTAAGATTCCTTCTTGAACTTTTACTCAATAAAGACGAGTCATGTATTCATGATTCTTCATAGTTTCTGCTTGCAATTAAGTTTGACTTGATGTATGACATGGCTGGTTTCCTCTATACCTCCTAGGCCTGGAACAGAGGTTTACATGCATATCCTGTGTTGATGAGTGAAAATTTCACCCAAAAAAATTCCCATGCTCAAAATCTAATGATCACAGAGAACAATAAACAACTTTATTGCTATAGTATAGAGTAGTAGATGGGGGCTCTTGTGGTCTAGAGGTTACAGTAACAGTGTTTGCCTTTCATTCAATAGAAGGTCTTGGGTTCGAAACCTGACAGCAATGGAACATTTTCCCATTTCACCTCCTTTCGTGCTCTCTTTTAACCGTGTTCTATCTGGCCCCCAATCCCCTTTGCCCCCTTTCTGTGTTCTTGATTCGATCTTTCTGTGTAGCCTTTCTACTGCTACTCCTTGGCTCCTTCTTACTGCTGTCTTTCAGCCACACCCCTGATCTTAGGGTAGGTAAGATGTAACACTTATCTTTCTCCGGGAAGGGCAAAAAATCTCGGAGGTCCCGTGCAAGTTGTGCATGTCAAAGATCTCTTGGTGGTTCTAAAATCTATAAAAGAGTAGTACTTAGGCTTCAGCCACCACTCTGGCAAAATTCAAAATGAATTCCTACCAAACTGAAAATGTTTAATGCGTCCCGCACACTCATATGACCTAGATCTAATGCAGTTGCAAGCACCGTACAACACTTACCAAAACAAGACAAAAAACAAGAGTAGTAGTAGACGTATAAAACCAAAACTTGCAAACCTCTGTAGTGCACAGTACCAGCACTGACACAAAAACAACACTGCACAGTCAGGGTTGTTTTAATTGTCTACTCCAGCATAACAAATTTTATCAACTTGTTGCAGAGCATAGTACAGGGTGATCTTGTAGTTCCGTTCGTTAAAGTCCACGATCCATCTGTTTACATCCAGAGAAGAAATCCAGAAGTCTTGAAGACCAAATACTATTTGAATTAGGCTACACAAAGAGCAGGAATGCAACCTAACTGCAAAACATCAAATTAGGATAAAATTCAGGGGGGCATGCCCCCCTGAAACCCCCTACTCTTGACTTTAACGAACGAAACTACAAAATCGCCTAGTACAGGATCATACTATCATAGCTCTACAACTACACTACAGTACAGCATCAGTCAAATTATTTCATTTTAGGCTTAGGCCTACATCATAATTATGTCTTCCATCGACAACAGTGAAGTGACGTAAACCTAGAGAGTAGGCCTATAGCTCAGAATCTCAGTCATCTAGATCTAAATCACAACATTTGGCCTGGATCCAATTCTCAAATCAAGACTAAATTCCTACCTAAATTGTGAGTTCTAACAACATGATATTGTTGATACTCACCAACCCAGAAGTGGGATTTTCAGTTTGTCATTACTTTATAGAGAACAATTTCTCTCATGATCCCAAAGTCACCAATTGATGTCATTTTGATACGAGCACTTCGAGAAGAAGTCAATTATCTAATCGGTGCACTGGTCAAATGATTTCACCAGTTAGACGACATTTAGGCAAAGTAAAGTAAAATAATTGTCCGAGTCCAAAGGCAACGACCACCTCCCACTCCACACGAACGGTAACTGCAAAGGCAAAGTTGCAGGTAAGACATCAAGACATGTCTGGTATTTTTGTCCTCACAATTCAACAGCTTCAGTGCAAATGTATAGTAAATATTTAATTTACAACTTACCTTTGCGAAGAGCAAAGTCAACTGTCTTTGTGCATTTATCAGAATGCAGCATAAAGTTGTAAACGACGGGATAAGTACGACACACCGACAAAGCTGTGTTGTGACTGTGAATTGCTATGTACCTGGTAATTGCTCAAAATATCGGCCAAAATAGTCAGCATCCAAAATACATTTACTCTTACAATTTCATTGATTCACTCACAATGACGTCGTCTCATCACTAACTATTTCAACTATTCGACTGAATATTAAAATTGTCACTGTTCAATTAAATTATGACTGAAATTCAGTATGACTGTTATGGGCCTACCAAATTGGACACGATCAGTCCGAGTGACCTCAATAGCTGTAGGCCTATGTTGTCTACATCTTCTCATTTGGCCAAAGCGTCACTTGCCTCACGTCAACGGACGTGTTCGGGCGAGAATGCTTCGCGGAGAGTATCGGCTCTCGAGAAGGTGCAGAGACGGCGAAAAGCAAAACATTCAAAACATCGTTAACTTCTTAATCAAAGTTTAAGATTTTTGCTCGTTTGATTTGCCATTATGCAATCTATTATACCATGTAATTTTTCGCCCCTCTCCCAACACACACATAGTACGCTCAGGGGTGTGCTGGTTAGTATGTGAATGCACATGCCTATATTACATGTAGTCTACTGCCGATTTTATTTTTTAAATTTTATTTTATTTAACACCTTTTTTTTAAAAT